GCTTTAGACCACTGAGCCATCTCACCAGCCCCTGTTCTCTCTTTTTAAATCACTCCCCCTTCTCTATGGCTCAGTTGAAGTCCTCTTATCCATACATAGGGGACTCTCACTACCAACCCAAGGGGCTTTCTCTTCCCAATTCTATTCAGCTTATTTTTAACCCCCTCCTCCAATCATATGAGATTCTAATCCAGAGCAGATTCAACTGGGTCCCTGGTGGTGGGAAGAGAGTTGGGCAGTATTTGTTTCAGATTTTCTCTTTGTGAGCTTTAAGCACTTCTAATAAGGCCAATTCCAAGCAGTCCAACAGAGTTCTTGGTTGAAGATATGCCATTGTGGGGGACCTAGAGGATCCACACAGGACAGGGAGGGGTCTCTGGCACCCAGACTCAGTGGTACCTGGGTCTTTAATATTTGATTTAGACCCAACTGTTCACATCACCTCCAGATGCAGGCAGTGGAAGACCCAGAATACAGATTCCAACTGCTGAGAAATGTTCCATTCCATCTTTTTTTTGTTCATTTATTGGATACAGGGTCTTGCTACACAGTTCAGGCTCATAGTGATCCTCCTGTCTCAGTCTCCCCAGCACTGGGATTACAGGTATACCAACACGCCTGGTTTTGGGGCCAACATGGCTTGCCTGGGGTTCTGGGGCCAGCATAGCATTGAGCTGGGGTATTGAACTTGGGTCCTTGTACTTGCCAGGCAGGTTCTTAGACCACTAAGCTATCTCCCCAGGCCCCTCTCCATCTTTCTACATTCATCTGATAAAAGGATGAGTCCTTCCACATCACTGGGTGTCAGTACAAAACACAGCAGAGCCACATAAGAAAAATAATTTTGTTATTAAGGATATACAATCATACAAAAGTATTTCATAATATCACATTCATAACTGGATATTAGCTTGACTGTTATGTGACCTGTTATAAATAATGAACAGAGCTATTGAAGCATAAACTAGTTACAGGGAAATAAAAACACTCATACCACACATGGAATTCCTCAGGGTCCTTGTTTTGGGAAGTTGACAAAAGATGCTGAGACCCTTGAGAGATACACTATAAAAGGGTCCTTTTCTACAATTTCTCTAAAGTGGCAACTTTTGTAGAAGGACCATGTAAAACCTCGGATTTTAGGCTTTAACAATGATGATCACTGTGCTGTTTTCCAAATGGAAAATTATTTTTGATGCATAATGAAACATACATGCTGACTATGCCAGGAAAAATTTCATCAATTTCCTCAAATCCATGATTAATAACTTTAGATGGTCTATTTTACTGACTGTTGGGCCCAGACTCTTGTGACTAACTCTTCATGAAGTTTCCCTGGAAGATCAGCTTGCAGAACCAGGCTGCTGAGGCTGTCTGTGTGGGGTTGCTTGCATGGGAGAAAAATGTGACAGCCAAAATATGACAGAGAACTGCAGCTGAACCCCTAGGGTGCCCATGCCTGGGGAGGGAAAGTCTTTATCTGCATGACTGTCATGGTCATCCCAAGGCAAGGCCAAGGTGGTTGGGAACTTTGGAGAGGGAACACCACCACCCAGGTACTGCTCTGGACCTGCCGTGTGGTGATATAATACTCCTTGTTCCCCTTAGTGCCAAAGAGTATCTATTATCTCTGTGCTGGGGAATGGACATAACCGTCATCTCCATTTATACAGAAACTTCTTGGGTCAACTAATTCTGAGGTAAGTGTTGGGAATTAACACATCAGGGGAGGAAAGGCAGCTTCCTCTTTGTTTCCTCAATCCCCAAATTCTTTTTTTGGGGGGAGCACATAAAAGTTTTAAATTTTCCATCTGGAACTGTGAAGGGAAGGATTTTCCTAAACTAAAATGTATGCCCTATTATTTCAACGGCAGCTTTTCATTATCATTGCTTGCAAAAATTTGATGTCAACATTTTTACTAAAGTGTCAAGAAAGCATACAAGGATCTTTTTCCTCTGTGAAATAGGAAAAGTGTAGCACACTTTAACTCTTCCTAAAAAATGCTTTTACCTTTTGCTTTGAGCATAAGTCCTGTTTAAGACAGTGACTCACTGGTTTTATATACATAACTAAAAGCTATATTAGAAATAAAAATGCCTTTTGATGACTTATCTTTGAAATATATAATTTGGGCATATAGAGTATATACTTAGTTCTTGCAGTAGTCTAGATTTTGAAAAGCTGAGGATTAATAATTTTCTAAATTGACCTAGTACAATAGATCAAGATTATAAAATACAGGTTATTTTTTGTTTTGCTGGAGATTATTATCTAAATTAATCTCATGAATCCCAGATATTTTTGACTTTTAGCTCATTTTTAAAATATATTTTCCTAGCCTCTGGCCAAACATGCAGTTTGCTTGCATTTGACAACAAAGATTGTATTTCTAAATATAATTCACAGTCAAGAAAAAACAAAGGTAATTAAATTGATAACTTTTTAAAAAGATGAACTCAACCATCCCTCATGGATCCTGCGCAGGACTCTTTCTGGACATTCATCTATCCACGCCCTTCACATATGGTGCTGTACAAGCCAGCAGACCTTAAACGTCCACGTGGAATTCAACAGCTGCTGTTGTCTTTCCATGACCTGTGGCTGGCGAGGCTGCCTACGGTGAGGGTTAGTTTCTGGAGTGACCGAGGGGGCATGGGTGACAGAAGACAAGCACTGCTGGTGTGTCTTTCTCCAAATGCCGGCAGTCAGTCACTGCGGACCTGCTATAATTAAGAATGAGTGGAGCCAAGTGTTCATAAAAGACTCAGCCACGTACATCCCCTACATAACAGAAGGAGGGAAGGAAGCCTGGCATGACTGGAGGTCTGTGAATGATCCTGTTCACTTCTTTAAGAAGAAGACTTCAAAAGGCATGTGAACTCAATGGTGGTAGTTTTCTTCCAACAAGCTGTCACAATAGGGTAAGCAAATGACTGGTTCAAGGGATATGGCAACAAGTCAAATGCAATCCCCTGAGAAATACAAGGGCGTGCTGCAGGATGAGAAAGAGACCCTGCTGTGACAAATAGTCTGTAACAGGCATTGTGATGCTCTATGTAAGAGTTCAGATCCTCTGGACAGGAAAATAAGCTGTTCTGTGTGTCCAGGGAGAAAGTGGACACTCTAAGCCTGAAAGCTGCCACTGCAACCAAGAGTTCCCCAACAGTACAGAGAAAAAGCTGTCCTCTGGCTGGCCAGCTGTTCCCAGAGCCTATGACTCCCAAGGAGGCCTTTTTTTTTTTTTTTTTTGGTACAGGAGATTGAACTCAGGACCTTGCACATAGCCAGGCAGGTGCTTATGCTGCTGCACCAAGTCCCCAGGCCCCCAGGGAAGCCTTAATGGGAATATGTTTCCCTCTGGGACCTAGAAGTGCTCTGAGAAGATACTGTAACTCCATGCCAGATGGGGAAACGTACCTGCTTTTTTTGGCTTCCCACATTATTGAGGGAAAAAATCAAAGACAAGTCTGGAAAGAATTGGAATTTGAACTGAATTAAGGAAAAGTTGAAGTATTGGAAGGAAAATTTTTGCCAAGCAAGGAAGACCATTTTTCCTCCTTCACAAAAGAGAACTCTTAACAATGTATTATTCCCAGTATGCTGGCAGGTTCACTGGCTCCAGACAAAGACTTCTAATGCCTAAGAAAAGCAAATTTACCTGCCTCTGCTAAGTTGGTTTCAGAGCAGTCCCTGCCCAGGTGCCCCGGCTCCTCTGCCAGCGGCCCATGCCAACACCTCTTTCCAGTTCACTGTACATGGATTGGCTGGACTGCGACCCAGTGGCACCTCTGGGCCCCTGGTCAGAGCGGGGAATTCTGTGCTCCTCCCTAAGAGTCAGCCACCTTATTTAACAAATAGCTTGTGATTTATGGAGCAGGACCATGCTTTTGATCAAACAGCTTTTAAGACAGCCTGGCAACCAGGAGTCCACTGTTCTTATATGAATTAGAAAATTTCATTCTTTTATTGTCTTTGAAAAGAGTTTTACTCTATAGCTGGAGGAACTTTCTCTTCCACAAAGGATTCTTAAAGATAAACATGGCACGAATCCTTAGCTTCATCATATTAGAATTTTAAAATGTGACAACCTATATGGCAATAAATATACAACTGTAGTTTTCCAGCTTTCCAATCTCTCCTCTTTAATTTTCTCCTTCCTATGGCTAAATTTGGGAAATAAGGTTGCATAACAGAATGGAATATGTAACATCTATTAGATTGGCAAGGAAAAAGAATTATCCATCAAGATTAATCTTTATGTTGTTCACTCCATTTTAATTGAAGAGCTTTAATTTGGGGACAGCTATGGAACCTGACACCATTTTTCCCTCCTGTTTCCAAAGTTAGGCTCAAGCTTTCTTAGAGCTCAACTTGCCATCTTTCCCTTTTTTTGGTACTGTGCCCAATGTTAAGACATGGCAAGAGTACCTAGGTCCAAAAATTCAGAAGCTCCTGAAAAACTAGGACAATAAAGAAAAACAAGATGTCAAAGAAAAGTCCTGTCTTTCTGCAAACATTGCATACATTTGTCATTTCCTGCCTCCCATATTTAGTAGGGCAGTATGGAAAGATCATTTAGAAGAGAAGTGAGAAGGCAAGAAAGGAATTAAGAAAATGAAAATGTCTTGATGTCTGCAGTAGTTTTTCGTCAGCTGCTTTAACTGTAGGCAAAGGTGCTCTGCTCTTGTGCCGGTGTGAATGTGCAGAACGTGCTAGGGCTGAAAGTCACTGGGAGCTTCCAGTTCTCTTGCCTCAGTTCTTCTCGGGTAGTCATCTCCAGAGCTGAAGTCCATGGTCTCTGGGTAGCTGGAAAGTTCGTGAGGTAAAGGAAACTCCTCTGCTGAAGAGTGAGTCCGGTGCCCAAACACCTTTTCCTGCAGCTCAGCAATGTCATTGCGGATGTCAGCCAGGATAAGGAGCAGGAAGTCAAAAGAACCTGGTGGTCCCTGCACAGTGGGAAGAATTGAAGGTGCAATTTACAACAGATTCACCCTGTGGCAACAATGTACTCCCTGGCTCCATGATCTATTGGTCTTGTTGCTTGCTGGCAACTCCCTTCTTGATAAGTCTGTGTCCCAAAAGAACTAAGTATGACTATGATAACAGTCTAGGACACTTGAGCTTGTCTTCTAATTCCCCGTATCAACTATGAACATTGGTGATACAGTCACGTGCTCTCTCTCCTAACTCAGGCTATGACAAAGCTGGCAGATGAAAGAATATGAGAGTAACCCTCACAGGTGACTTTCTGAAGAAATCTGGAAGATGCTTATGAGAATAGTGACATCGTGGTTAAGAGGCTGAGCTTCTATTGGGTTCAAACCCCAACTCTCACCTGCGAGCTGTGCAGTCCTTGCAAAGCAATTGATTTCTTTGAGTTTTAGTTTTTCCCATCTGTAAAATGAGGCCAATGGACCAACATCATAGAATTTTGTAAGGTTCAGAAGTCAGGATTTAAATGACTTAATATAGGTAAAGGGTTTAGAGCGTAATCAATACTCCAGAATGTCTGTTCTTTCACAAAATATTAAGATGTTTATAAGATGGTTGACATAATATAATGGCAAGCTAAAGGAGTCTGAAAGAATGCTGTAAAGACACGGATTCCTGGACTACTAGGAAAGGTTAAAACAAAACTTTCCTATTTACTGGACATCCTTCATTATTACATAGTATAGCTTTCACTTCCATGTAGTGCTGTGATGAGGTATGATAAAAAAAATGTATAAATATGCCTATTCTGGGCCAGTTACAATTTAAAGGTGAAACTGTTGTTACCCCTGTTATGTCTGTTACTGTGCCTTAGAAGCAGCAGTTCAGACTGCAAAGCCCTTAGGCATGGTATTTTGCTATCCTTTGATCCTCACAATAAGTACTCAGAGTGGCAGATCAGACTGCTCTACTGGCACTGTACAAGTGAGGCGTGAATGCCCAGGGATGCTAAGTGATGTGCCTGTGGTCAGAAAGCTAACAGGTGGAAGAGCTGAGACCTCCTGCCTCTGCAGCCACAGCTGTTAGTCTCTGCTCTGACACAACACCAATTTCTTCAGAAGTAGTAGACTTTTTGCATCTTTTTGTACTGTTGGGTATTACTAATTTCCATTTTGAGTCTCCTAGACATGGATGCATGCAGTCAATTCCTTCTCAGGTCTCAAGGAGCCCTGCATATCTCTTACCTTTGTTGAAAGACTTGGTCATTAGACCTATTAGGACTGTACTGGGTTATATTCCAAGTCTGAAAATTCATTGCTTTCTATTTTAGTTCTCTGAGGTATTTTATGAAACACTGTACTGGAAACAGATGCATGGCATAATGGGCCTGACAGAGTGCATTCCACATAAAGATTAACTATGATAAAAGAAAAAGTAGCAATGGAAAGCAAATTTTGAAAATGATCAAAACCAGCTGGTAAAGGCTTTCATGATGCTCTTCCTAACCAGAGTTCTGCTTAAGTGACTTCTGCTATGAGGACCCACTCTGGGCTCTCTAAGGATAAGAGCTGCATCACTGAGAACGTTTCCACTGCAGAAGCAGGACAGGTAGTACCACTTACAGGAGACCCTCTGGGTCCAGGTGCTCCTCTCTCCCCCTAAAAGCAGAAAGCCAGGGTTAGTGTTCTGGATGATACAAACTCCACCGCCACAGACTATTCAGACACTCACCAATCATAGTCATTTCCTCCCACAAAGCAAACACTATACTTTCTACAAGAAACAACTGAAGGAAAGAAGCTGGACCTGTGAGGCTGCATATATGAACAGAAATACTCGTGTCCAGTGTTTTTCCTGCTGATTTTCCTCTACATTTTAAACCACATCTGACAAGTGCTTCCAGGCAGTATGTAGAATAATAGAAACTTTCTAAAGTATCACATTGACTTTTTTTTTTTTACCAATATTAGGAAGCCCTAAAAAATGAAATCACCCACTTGTATACAATAGAACTTCTGTTTTGAATTAATATCCTAAAGAAATGGAGACAAACAAAAAAAATACCCTATGAAACAACACTGCTTGGTGAGAAAAATACATGTGAGTATCATAAAATAGAGGTGTATTTAAGACTGAGAGGGATCATATTTCTTAAGGAATGATACTGGTGGTCATATTTGCTTTTAGGATTCATTCCACAATTAATTAATTAGTATCAAGAATTGAACTGGCAAATATTCCATAGTTTAAAATTTGTTTCAGTTTTGAAAGTAGACACACAGTCCGAGTATCCCCTATTCAACATGTGGGATCAGAAGCACTGGAGAGAGACCCAGTCCTAGC